CCTAAACTGAGTCTTGGCCCTAAACATCAACCTAACCCCTAGCTCCTAAACTGAGTCTTGGCCCTAAACATCAACCTAACCCCTAGCTCCTAAACTGAGTCTTGGCCCTAAACATCAACCTAACCCCTAGCTCCTAAACTGAGTCTTGGCCCTAAACATCAACCTAACCCCTAGCTCCTAAACTGAGTCTTGGCCCTAAACATCAACCTAACCCCTAGCTCCTAAACTGAGTCTTGGCCCTAAACATCAACCTAACCCCTAGCTCCTAAACTGAGTCTTGGCCCTAAACATCAACCTAACCCCTAGCTCCTAAACTGAGTCTTGGCCCTAAACATCAACCTAACCCCTAGCTCCTAAACTGAGTCTTGGCCCTAAACATCAACCTAACCCCTAGCTCCTAAACTGAGTCTTGGCCCTAAACATCAACCTAACCCCTAGCTCCTAAACTGAGTCTTGGCCCTAAACATCAACCTAACCCCTAGCTCCTAAACTGAGTCTTGGCCCTAAACATCAACCTAACCCCTAGCTCCTAAACTGAGTCTTGGCCCTAAACATCAACCTAACCCCTAGCTCCTAAACTGAGTCTTGGCCCTAAACATCAACCTAACCCCTAGCTCCTAAACTGAGTCTTGGCCCTAAACATCAACCTAACCCCTAGCTCCTAAACTGAGTCTTGGCCCTAAACATCAACCTAACCCCTAGCTCCTAAACTGAGTCTTGGCCCTAAACATCAACCTAACCCCTAGCTCCTAAACTGAGTCTTGGCCCTAAACATCAACCTAACCCCTAGCTCCTAAACTGAGTCTTGGCCCTAAACATCAACCTAACCCCTAGCTCCTAAACTGAGTCTTGGCCCTAAACATCAACCTAACCCCTAGCTCCTAAACTGAGTCTTGGCCCTAAACATCAACCTAACCCCTAGCTCCTAAACTGAGTCTTGGCCCTAAACATCAACCTAACCCCTAGCTCCTAAACTGAGTCTTGGCCCTAAACATCAACCTAACCCCTAGCTCCTAAACTGAGTCTTGGCCCTAAACATCAACCTAACCCCTAGCTCCTAAACTGAGTCTTGGCCCTAAACATCAACCTAACCCCTAGCTCCTAAACTGAGTCTTGGCCCTAAACATCAACCTAACCCCTAGCTCCTAAACTGAGTCTTGGCCCTAAACATCAACCTAACCCCTAGCTCCTAAACTGAGTCTTGGCCCTAAACATCAACCTAACCCCTAGCTCCTAAACTGAGTCTTGGCCCTAAACATCAACCTAACCCCTAGCTCCTAAACTGAGTCTTGGCCCTAAACATCAACCTAACCCCTAGCTCCTAAACTGAGTCTTGGCCCTAAACATCAACCTAACCCCTAGCTCCTAAACTGAGTCTTGGCCCTAAACATCAACCTAACCCCTAGCTCCTAAACTGAGTCTTGGCCCTAAACATCAACCTAACCCCTAGCTCCTAAACTGAGTCTTGGCCCTAAACATCAACCTAACCCCTAGCTCCTAAACTGAGTCTTGGCCCTAAACATCAACCTAACCCCTAGCTCCTAAACTGAGCCTTGGCTCTAAACATCAACCTAACCCCTAGCTCTTAAACTGAGCCTTGACCCTAAACATCAACCTAACCCCTACCCCTTAAACTGAGCCTTCTCCCTAAACATCAACCTAACCCCTAGCCCTTAAACTGAGCCTCGGCCCTAAACATCAGCCTAACCCCTAGCCCTTAAACTGAGCCTTGGCTCTAAACATCAACCTAACCCCTAATCTGATTAAGCATTAACCTAAGCCTTAGCTCTTGAACTGAGCCTTGGCCCAAAGCATTAGTTTAACACCTAACCCTTAAACTGTGCCTTGGCCCAAAACATCAACCTAACCCCTAGCCCTTAAACTGAGCCTTGGCTCTAAACATCAACCTAACCCCTAGCCCTTAAACTGAGCCTTGGCTCTAAACATCAACCTTATCCTTGCTTCAAATTTAGAGAGTGATTTACATGAAACAAGTTTTCAGCTAGCTAAGTCAGAATTTTAGAACTTCTAAATTATATTCAGCCATTTTCTAAGGAGAGAACAAAGAATGGGAATAACGCAGACAACCAGGACCCTCAAATACTGTCCTAGGTTTGACTAGCTGAATAACCTAAATCAGGGGTAGGCACAAATCACATCATGGCTCTGCCTTTGGTAGACATGCCTTTGGCTGTCAGGCTTACAATGCCTCATGGGCCTTGTAGTTCCACAACAGCTGGGGTGCCAGGGCTGCCTACCCTTGCCCTAAATTGACACTATTCCAATGACTCCCACCAAAAATTGGACTGTATGTATGTTTTTCTGAGGGTCTAACCTACGGTAGTATAAACAGCCATAAAATATGCGTTCTTGTGCTCCTGTACACCAGCTGATCCCGGGCACGGCTCACAACTACTTATCTAAATCTCCAACCAATATCATGTTCAAAGCTCATTTCTCATGAACAAAACATTCTATTTATCCCCCTTAAACACTAATCTAGATGCACAATCGTTTTTGGAGCCTTTACAGAACAGAAATGAGTTCCACATCTCCGGAATGCATCGTACGCATGTCCTCCTGTTTTTAAACACCCCCCCCCCAGCAGCAGCTGAACAAATTCATTTTTTCCAGGAAATTAGTTCCGCCTCTGAAACTTTGGCTTTTGTTGCGCTCTTGGAACGTTCCAGAGATCAATGGAGTTTGATGGAGTTTATTGCAGCTACCTTATTTTAAATCTGCGCTCATTCCCGTCTTGGGAACATGAGCGCATGTGGAAATAATGCTGCGACGGCTCGGCTCGTGCTGCATATTCATAGACCGTGGGGAACGCAACAAAAGCTGACTGTGTAATAATCAACTGAGATGTACTGCCTTTGGCTTGGGGGCTTTTCCTGAGTGGGGTTTTCTGTAATGAAAGATTTGCTTTCTTTTCTGATATTACTAGGTGACAAATCTAATGATCTCTTTAAATTTACTATGCTGCTTATGGCTTATACCAGGGGCAGGCAAACTCCAGCCCTCCAGCTGATGTGCAACTACAACTCCCATGAGGCATTGCAAGATTCTCACAGGCATGACTCCCAGAGGCAGATGCCTTATGGGATTTGTAGTGTCATCACAGCTGGAGGGCCGGAGATTGCCTACCCTAGGTTTAGACATTCGCCTTTATACCAGGGAATTGTCACGTACCTTATGGAGCTTGAGATGACGAGGGCGCCCTCTCTTGCAACTCTAGTTCCAGGAGGCCTGAGAATTGATACAGCTAACCTGGGACTCAGCGGGGCCCGAGTGTCGGAAGATTTAGATGCTGCACGTAAGTCCTGTAGCTGCTCTGCTGGGCAATTGTATATAAACACACAGCAGAGAGGCATGCAGAGAAGAGTCAAAGTCAGGCGGGTCAGCAAAGTACAGGCAAGAAGGTACCAAATCAGGAGACGAAGTTGTAGTCGAAGGGCAGGCCAGAATCGGCAACATGCAGACAACGCAGGATCAGACAGGAGGCAGAAGAATAGTCAAACGAGCTGGAGTCAGGATACCAGAGGATCAGCAGGGTCAGGAAGAAGCCGTGGTTCAGCAACAGGAAGGCAAACAGGGTACAGGTTCCGGAAACAAGGCACACAGCTGAAGTGTACTCAGCACTGGAGGCATGGAGCGGCTGGGCATAAATAGCTCGTTTTGCGGCACAATACGTCGGAGGTGCACACGCCGTGAAACGCGCACGTGCATACCCACGCCCCTGCACAGAGGTGAACGGCCCGACCTGGCACTGTGGGCCATGCCGTGCGCATGCACAGGCACATGCTCGATTACCTTCGTACGGGCTTCCTGACAGAAATGACAAAGACAAATTGTTTCCTATTTGGTTCAGACAGTATTGTATTCTTTATTTCACTCTCCCTTGATTTGACCTCCTTGAATATTTGCACAAATGAACTTTGGGTACAAAAACGTATATTTAAATCTATTTAATAGACGCAAAAGATATAATTCCACTTTGTGTGTTTCAAATGCCTTTGCAAGTGCAGATATTACTGTATAAAAGTAGCAGTGACATCATCATTTGGGTCTGGGTGGAGATCAGAGCTGTGTGAGGGACCCAGCAGGCCCCTCCCACTGCAGGATGTCTACAGAAATCTATAGGAGGGGCGGAGACCAGACCAGTCACTCTGCTGAAGGAAAGAGAGCAGCAGTGACTGGTCTGTATTACAGGAAGCTCTAAGTCTCACACTGGATTACTGTACAGATCTGGAAGAAATACACAAAGCTCACCAAGATTCAGAATACACATGACTCTTGTATGAGGACAATATTTGTGTATCATGGAGTTTACCTTTGAAGAGAGAGACCTTTTCAAAAACTGTAAGATTAAATGTGCGCTCAACGTATTTTCAGCACCATATTTATCTGTAAAAGCCTTCTTGTGTACCGATCCAAAAGCCCAGTGACTGCTGCTGGTTGCCTCCATTTTGGATGTGATATCAGCTGCCCCAACAGACTCAGAACCGTCACTAAGGGCTTGTTCACACCGAAAGCGGTGCGTTCCAGAGTGGGAGCTGCTGGAATGCAACGCGATCTCTCGCGTTGCATTCCAGGGGGGGGGGGCGTGGAAGCGCTGCTATTGAATTCAATGCACCGCCACACCCCCTCCCACCCCAAAATGCAGGGGGAAGTTTTCGTGAGCGATGACGGTGCGTTCCAGCAGCTACCTCTCTGGAACGCACCGCTTTCGGTGTGAACAAGGCCTCAAGTGTGGCAGGAGTAGCCAAACTTCAGCCCTCCACCTGTCGAGTAACTAGAAGGCATTGCAAGACTGTGCCCGCCACAGGCTTGATTCCCAGAGGCAGATACATGATGGGATTTGTAGCTTTACAACAGTTTGTCTAGTTTGTTCTATAGTGGTGCCAACTTTTCGATGACATTAGCCATTCTAGCCACTGCTTATACATGACACAAATCATGACTCCTCAACTTATTTTGTTTTTCCTTCTCTTTTCTAGGCAACAACCTTGATGCCATCCATGATATCACCGTGGCCTACCCTCGCAACATTCCTCAGACAGAGAAACACATTCTCAGTGGCGATTTTCCGCGGGAAATCCATTTTCACGTTCGCAGATACCCCATCGATAGCCTGCCGGTTTCCAAAGAGGAGCTTCAGCGTTGGTGCCAAGAGCGCTGGGAGGAGAAGGAGAACCGGCTGCGTGCCTTCTACGAAGGAGAGAGATACTTTGACGTGACCGGACGGAGCAAAATTCCGCCGTGCAAAACAGAATTCCGGGTTCATTTAATAAAGTTTGCGTCTCTGCTCTACTGGACCGCCTTTACTGTGGCATCCTGCTGCTGCCTCTTCATGTACAGCTTCGTACGATGGTATGCACTAATCATGGTTGTCTTCTATGTCCTCCAGGAGAAGATATTTGGGGGACTTGAGCTGATCGAGCTGGCATGCCACCGATACCACGTCAAGAGGCAAAGTTCAGCGAGCAAAAGGGCATAATGCAGGGTTTGAGTCTTTAAGGGGCTCTCTTGTTTTTTCATAAACTTACCTGCCACACCCTTCAGCAAATTGATTCGGGTCGCCTCCTTGAAGTCTCTATTACTTGAAGTCTCTATTACCCAGTCAACGTAATAGCCGGTGTGGGCAGATACAATCTTTTCAAACAGGAGTCTTCTGGTGCAGCGGGGGTGAAGTCAAAATGTGACCGGCCCTTTAAAGGATTACAATGCCCATCTGCAGATTGCACTTGCCCCTGACTAAGTTGTCTCTTAAAACCGGTACATTTGCAAGACCGCCTTTACTGTTTTGTGACTGGCTTTCAGCCCACAATCAGCTCAACCACCCAATTACAGTACAGTCTGGCAAAGAGAGTTTTGTTATTTGTAATCTGGAAATGGTTATCTAGAGATTTACAGGGTTATTCACAGAAGGGTGAAGGGTTTGGGGAAGGCAGGAGAAGTGACCAATCTAGGACATCATAGCTGAACAGGAAAAATTCTCCAATTCAGCTCACTTTCCAGTTCAGCTATGTTACATAGTTAGTCAGGGTGAAGTCTGTCGAGTTCAACCTATAACCTAAGTTGTCCTAGATTGTTCACTTGTCCTGCCTGCGCCAAACTCTTCACCCTTTGGTGAATAACCCTGTCAGATAGAACCTGAATCAGTTTCGGGAGACAACTTGCAAGTTACAGGGATAAAACATGAATGAAAGTTTATAACCAGTGAGAATTTTTGCATGTAAAGTAAGCTTAGTCAGCCCAGGTCCCTGCAGCTGATGTACATCATCAGTGTACACGTGTGTCCCACCACAAAGGGGGGACCACCACAGCTTCTGGGAACGAAGGTCTATAGACCTTGTATATTCTTAAATACTTTCACAGTTTTATTTTTTATCCAACGGTTTGCACTCCTTTGAGATGAAGAATGCACCAATAGACAATTTCACATATAATAGTAAGACATATCATTGAATGTATACTGTACATAGGAACAGGTAAAGGGTTAAAGGGGGTGTCCGACTTTACAAACCTCTTTTTTGTACTCAGAGCCTGGAGTGTTGTGAGGTTTTTTTGTGGCCTTGTCTGTTTTGTAAGGGCCTCAAAAAGCACGATTTGGGATTGCTGTACACCAGGGGTGCCCATTAGGTGGATCGCGATCTACCAGTTGATCGCAAAGCGAACACTGGTAGATCGCGATCGTCTCACTGACCTGTGTCCTGTCCTCCCGCGGTGCTCGTGCGGCTGAATGTTTCAGACGCCAAAGGCGGGAAGAGGCGGGACACCTCTCCCCGTGTGCAACGTCGGCCACACGAGCACCGCGGGAGGACAGGACGCCGGCGCACGAGAGGAGACCTGGAAAGCTGCTGCAGTGGAGGTAAGAAAAGACGGACAGGAGAGAGACAGCAGATAAAGTGAGATAAGAGACAGCAGAGAGAGGGCCGGTTCACACCACAAAGTCTGCGTTCCAGAGTGTTCGGCCACTAGAATGCAAGCCGGCCAGCTCCCTGCGTTCAGGGGCGGGGTGGGGCATGGTGGTGCATTGAAGTCAATGGCACCGCAGCCACGCCCCTCGCCCGCACCCGGAACGCAGGCACATTAGTGCCTGCGTTCCAGTCCAGTGCAATCTGCAAAAACAGCATTTTTGCAGATCGCACTGGATCGGAACGCAGGCACTAATATGCCTGCCTTCCAGGTGCAGGCGATCGCACTGTGGGCAGGGGGCATGGCTACGGTGCCATTGACTTCAACGCCCCCACCCCTGAATGCAGGTGTTTTTTCGTTGGTAGATCTCATTGAGCTCGTCATTTGAAAAGTAGATCTAGAGATGAAAAATTGTGGGCGCCCCTGCTGTAGGGGAAATGCAGTTGATGGTCCGATCATATATTCCATCCAGGTCCTGATTACAGGGACATCTCTGGCAGTGAGTGACCTGAGCTATCAGCATTAGCAGCCTTCCCAAGGGCATAGCATACCACGCACTGTGTACTGCAGGTGACCTTTATAAAGTGACAGGTCCTCTTTCATACGGGACAACCTTTTACTGGATGAACTCTGAAATATATCTTTCTTTTTTCTGTTATAGGCTTAGTTGTGTTTTCTTTGTTATTGAATAAGGGAAGTTGTGAGGTTTTATCATTTTGTCTTTACTTGTCTGCAGACAATCAGGATCTTTCTACGGTCAGTTCTCTGTGTTTTTTGCATTCATTATCTCGGGTATTTTATGTTTAATCCTGCCGACATGAGAAGGGGCCGAAGCTTACAGAGCCTGATAGGTTTGAACCTTGCTGCCCATAACGGTGCGCGCAAGTGTTCCCCATGCCGATCATTTCGATGAATGCAGCTGTCTGTACCCACTGAGGGTTTGATGACCATTCAACTCATTTCACATGCTCTGCGCAGATTGCAGGACCGCTCAGAATTTAAATGAGAGATAGCATTTAAAGCAGAAGTCCGGGCTAATAAAATCTTAACCTTTGCAGTGGGGCTACCCCTGCAGTGTAAAGGTGAAGGGTTCGTTTTGCCTTAGGAGCTAAAATAACAAAGTTATACTCACCGGAACCATAATCCCCACTTGCTCTTGGAACGATCCCTTCAGCCTCTCTTCCCCCCTCCGCTGCAGCGGTCTAAGGTCCCGTAAGTCTTTACATTCTATACAGGGTATAGAATGTGAGGATGCCAAGGGACATACAATCAAAAAATGGGCTGGAGGGAGCGATTTGGGAGCCAGCCGGGATCTGGTTCAGGTGAGTATAACTTTCTTATTTGCACCCCCTAGACAAAACGAGCACCTAACCCTTGCAGTGCCGGGGTAGCCCAACTGCAAAGGTCAAGATTTAATTTGCCCAGAGTCCTGCTTTAGTTTAATAGGATAAAGGCCTATATGGTGCATTGTGGTAGCACACACGCAGTTGATGTGCTCTATTCACACTAAAAAAAACCTGCTACCTGACCATTCATTTCAACAATAATCTTCCCATGAGATCAGATGTGCATTTGGTATATTTTCTGCATGTTATTTACCTTTAAGAGCCTCCCTTGTATTGAAATCAAAACCGAGACTGCTGCTGGGTGCCGCCATCTTGGATTTGATATCAGCAGACTCAGAGCGGTCACTCAAGTGACACTCTATAGTAGAGATGCACCGATACTAGTATCGGTGCCCATACCGAGTATTTGGGCGAGTACGAGCGTGCTCCGATACTTGCCTCCGATACTGGAACTTCCGCTCAGAGGGAAATCTCCCTCTGACCACAAGTGCTGAGGGAGCATGGAGCCAGCTTCCTTTGCAATTAGGAAGCCAGGCAATGGGTTATGACCTGCCTCCCGGCTTCCTTATTGGTCAGGAAGTCACGCTACCTAACAACAAGTGATGCCGGCTTCATAGCCAATTAGGAAGTTGGGAGGCGGGTCATGATGTGCTAGACCTGATAGTCTGGGCACATGGCAGTGGTACTCGGTGTCGGCGAGTACCGGAAAAAAAATATCGGTACTCGATACCGAAAAACCGGTATCGGCGCATCCCTACTCTGTAGTATTCCCCTTTACTCCTCCCTTGACAGCTACGCAAATGGTTGTGAAGGGGAGGAGCATAGGAGCTGGGCCAGAACAAAGAGTAACTACCCCCACACTGCAAGGGTTAAGTACTTGTTTTGTCTAGGGAGCTAAAATACCAAAAATATACTCACCTGAACCACAATCCCGGCTGTCTCCTACACCGCTGAAGGATCAACACACCGAATAGGCCCTTATCCTAGTGAATTATACCAAACCTTGCAGTGGGGCTACCTCCATACTGCAAGGGTTAAGTGCTCCTTTTCTCCAGGGAGCTAAAATAACAAAATTATACTCACCCAAACCACAATCCTGGGTGGCTCCTACATCGCTCCCTTCAGCCGGGGCCCCACACTGCAAGGGTTAAGATTTGGTTCTGCTTTTCTGTTGTGTCAAACCCGGTGCAATAAACTGATGGCTAAAATAAAATGCTACGCCGCCCACATGACCAGTGCCTTGGCATTGTTCATGTGACCATCCTTGCAGTGAGCCTACACCCTTGTTTCAATGGAAGAGACTTGTACATTCAGTATCGGTCTTTCTTTTTTTAATACTGTCAAAATGAAATGAATTGTTATTGTGTCAGATTGCCGAAATCAGCTGAATTTCCGGGGATGGCCAGAGCACATTCCGTACAACAGATCATCCGTCCGAGACATTGAGAGCCCCCTGACTTTTCTTGTATATCACAGGCGGGCCATTGTCTTGTGCCTGTTACACTATATTGCAGGAGAAAGAGGCGGGGCTCTGTGAAGGGGTGGGGTTTACCTTCGGCCATGATTGCCACAGATATAATATATCTCATGGCATTGGGTGTTGATAACGACTCTCTCTTTAATATTAGGCCCGTCTGACACCGTCCCTCGGCTCTGTACTGGGGTGTTCGCTTTTAAAGCTTGAAGGAGAGGAAAGAGCAGATTTCCTGTAACAAGCAGAGGATACTCAGTACTCATCCTGCTTGGCTGTTCCCACCACAGTCTGAGAAGATTATTGGCTAAGGCCTCGTTCACACCATCCTCAGTGCGTTCCTGGCCCGATTGTGGCCGGAACGCACTGGATGGCATAGCGGCCAGCTCAGTTTGTTGTGGGGCGGGAGGAGTCGTGCTGCAAGCACCATTTTTCCTGACCGGACCTCATGCATTGATGTGCCTTGCGTTTCCATGTGGCTGGAGGGCGTGGCTGCGGTGCCATTCACTTCAATGCAACGTCGCGCCCCCTCCCGCCCCACAATATAGTGAGCCGGCCGCAATGCGATCCAGTGCTTTCCGGCCACAATCGGGATGGTGTGAACGAGGCCTTAGACAAGTCAACATTTAGAAACTTCTACTAGTTGTTTTTATTATATATTCAGAGATGAATCTTTTTTTTAAACTGAATTGAAGAATGTTTTTAATTCTGTCCCCGGTGTTCCGCATTACTTTCTTTTCTTTATAAAAGTGGCTTTTGTTATATTTGGAAAAACTGTTTGTTTTTATAAACGGACACTAAAAATGAGAAAGAGGAAGTCATAAAGTGGACCTGTCAGTAACATTACGAGCCTGCATATATAAACTCCTGTCATGTGACAGTATAGGGTGGTGCTATTGTTTTGCAGGTGCTACACCTTTTTAGAAAGCCAACCTTGAGCTCAAGTTGGTGACTCTGCCTAGGCTGAGATGACGTTATCAGTCTGCTGCTGGCAGGAGGAAGCATTTCCTCAGTCTCCTCTCCCCCGATGATCAGTCTGCTGCAGGCAGGAGGAAGAATTTCCTCAGTCTCCTCTCCCCCAGTGATCAGTCTGCTGCAGGCAGGAGGAAGCATTTCCTCAGTCTCCTCTCCCCCAGTGATCAGTCTGCTGCAGGCAAGAGGAAGCATTTCCTCGGTCTCCTCTCCCCCAGTGATCAGTCTGCTGCAGGCAGGAGGAAGCATTTCCTCGGTCTCCTCTCCCCCAGTGATCAGACTGCAATATTGTAGCTTTGTAACAAGTCAGAAGGTGGGAGAATGCAGCAGAGGCTTACCTGTGTTAGGCCCTGGTTCCCTCCTGAGCAGGAAAACGCCAGGCATCTTAAGAGATAAAGAAGCTTCTGTGGGAAGTTAAAAGCGCTTTTCCTCCCCATAGACTTCATTGGAAATGCCCAAAAACACGCATTAGAAGCATGTTGCACATTTTCGCGTTCTTCCATTGCCCACAGTGGTTTATGGGCTGCCAATCAAAACGCGCATCCTAATGTATGCGTGTTAAAACGCCCATACAAATGTGCACAACGCGCATAAACGCGAAAATAACCGCATGCTGGTAACGCGCAAAAACGTTGCCGCCTAGGTGTGAACCAGGGCTCAGACATTTGTGAGCACAGCCAAGAACTGCAGTCACCAGTCTGGGAAGTAGATGTGACCCTGGATGATCCCTGAACAAAAATGGCTCCGGCCTTCCGGAGAGGACAGCAGATGAAGGCAATGTCAGGGCAGTGTGATCTCTTCTGTTAGCATATATAGCTGATATTTGGTCTCCTTTAGACTCAGCACTCAGCCTGGGTGTTGGCGACATGCTCCCTCTACTGTTCTTTGTATCTTTGCTTTATATCTCTATGATGTAGGAGGAACACCTCGGTGTATTTTTACAACCTTGAGTGTGCCATTTTGTTTCCCCCTTTAGCTGGGGTCATGTGCTATCTGTCAATCAATCTGCCTGGTCACCTGACCAATGGCAAACGGGGGCTGGGAAGAACAAGGGAAACAGGGGCGTGGCTTTCTCACACCTAGTGACGCAACCACCAACCCCAATAAGATTGCACTAGAATGGGCGGGGCTGAGAATACCCCTTCTGTACTTTATAAGGGTGGACAAAATGGGGTTCCCAGATTCCCGCAACGAGGGCGGTGGGAAGGCCCTCTCGACATTTCACTGCCATCTTTTACTTTATTTTGACCTCAGCCTACTTTTCATACGTTCGCCGTTCTGTCTGTGCAATAAATGTCGCGGATAATTCCGGCTTTGCTTCCGTCTGGATATCCCCCCAACATGAATCTTTTCCATGGGCAGGATTGTGTTTGATAGCCGGCTGTTTATATATGGAAGGCGAATCACAATACATCTATCGCCGCGTTTGTTCTTAATGACATCCACATCTTTTCTCTTTTAAATAGGAATTTGTTTTCTCTTGTCAGATCAGACACTTGTTCCCTCTCTTCTCCTTTTCCCTTTATGATTGGCTCCGTCCATCATGCCCTGTGATGTCTTTCCTCATTCATCTTTCTAAAAACTATTTGTTATGGGATCAAATGAATAGGGAGCGCTTTGAAAATGGATTTTCATTATAGTTTTTATGGATGGGAAGGACATAGATCATTGTAAAGCGGAACTCTAGGCCGAGAGGCGAAATGCTTGTTTGGAATACATATGTGTGTGATGTCTTGTGACCCGGAGGCCTCTGCCACGCAGTAAAGCAATGCAGCCTAAGTGGGGTATACACGGTTCATTTTTTTTCATTCAGTCTGAGGGCCGAACAGAAAATAAATAAAACGGATTTCTCCATCAACGCTTATGAGCGCCGGCCGACGGATCCTCCGTTGTTTGCATTGTACTCTGATACCCCAGCGGAGTTTGCAGCTGATTGGCTGCTTGCTCCTTTTGACCAAGAATTTTCCAACCCGCTTCTTTGATCACCTGATCGAGGGATGCCTGGCGGAAGTGTGTCGGCAGCGGCACCCACAGTATATATTTTGTCTGGTTCATCAGGAGCCCCTCTTCACATCAGAGTTGTCCTTCAGGTCAGGAGCCCCCTCATTTTACATCAGGGTCACCTTCCCTCACACTAAGAGCCCCCCTTCACATCAGAAGCCCCATTTATATCAGAGTGCCTCCTTTTATATTAGAGCCTCCTTTGCATATCAGAGACCCGTCCTTTTACATCAGCGTTTTCTCGTCACATCAGGAGCCCATGAGGTCAGGAGCCCCCCCTTTTACATCAGAGTCACCTCCTCTCCCACTGGGAGACCTTCTTTCACATCAGATGCCCCATTCACATCAGAGTCCCGTCCTTTCACATCAGCATCTTCCCGTCAAATCAGGAGCCCCATTCAAGTCAGGAGCCCCCCCTTTTACATCAGAGTCACCTCCTCTCCCACTGGGAGACCTTCTTTCACATCAGATGCCCCATTCACATCAGAGTCCCGTCCTTTCACATCAGCATCTTCCCGTCAAATCAGGAGCCCCATTCAAGTCAGGAGCCCCCCCTTTTACATCAGAGTCACCTCTTCTCCCCCTTCTTTCACATCAGATGTCCCATTCAAATCAGAGGGTCTCCTTTACATAAGAGCCTCCTTTGCATATCAGAGTCCTGTCCTTTCACATCAGCGTTTTTCCATCACATCGGAAGCCTCCCTCACATCATATTCCTCCTTTTTCATCAGGGACCCTCTTTCATATGAGTCCCCCTTTTCCATCAGAGTTCCCCCTTCACATTAGAAGCCCTCTTCACATCAGAGTCCTACCATCACATCAAGAGCTGTAGCTGCAGAAGCATGGTAGAGGGCAGTAGACAGAGCAGGCCTAGATGGAGGTGAACTTCTGTCCTTTTCTGAATGGATCTCGCCCTCCCTGGGTTAGCGTCATTCATCCCCCATGGTTCTGGTGGCTGGCCCACCTGCACCATGTAAAGGCATGATGCTGTGCAAAAATTTTGAGGCGCCCTGGTTGACATTGTATCGATAAGCTTCTGCAATGTGACAACATTTATTTCCGTCCAGAGTGGCATTAATCTTTCACCAAGATCTTGTAGTGATGGGGAGAGAGTCGGACCTCTGTGTAAAGTCTTCTCCAGCACATCCCAAAGATTCACTATGGGGTTAAGGTCTGGACTCTGTGGTGACCCTTCCATGTGTGACAATGATGTCTCATGCTCCCTGAACCACTCTTTCACAATCTGAGCCCGATGAATCCTGGCATTGCCATCTCGGAATATGCCCAATGTGCCATCAGGGAAGAAGCAATCCAATGATGGAAACTCCTGGTCATTCAGTATATTCAGGTAGACAGCTGACCTCATTTTTTGAGCACATAATATTGCTGCACCTAGCCCTGTTATCCAATGGAAGGCTCTGACCTATTTGCTTATTAAATCCATGTGGTGCCTTTTGTTTGGCCGGGCAGTGTATTTTATGCTTCAATTTATTTTTAGACAGTGTGGTGGTTCGTTGGTTAGCAATTCAGCCTTTCAGTCCGGAGTTGTTCTCACTGAGATCCCGGAGTTTGTATATCTTGGGCTGGATTCACATTATGCATTTCAATTCTACATGTGTTTCATTACCAACGGGCCTCCGACATGTATCAACGGAGTAAACAACACATCTCGACCCTTCAACACATAGATGTACATGCACTGTGGTGTGCTGCATTGGCATTAGTGTGTTGAAGCTTCTTAAGGGCCCTATTGGAATTAAATGCAACACAAAGTGCACATCAACACTGATTTGAACAGTTCTGGGAAGTTGATAAAACAATAAACAAACATCGAGTAAATTTCTGCTGCAATTCTCCTTTGGAACCCATCCACTGCTAGTCATGTGATTAGTGCTTAGGCATTGGTCATGTAATGTCTGCTAAAGGGCTTTGAGGGGATTGCGGTTCATGCCGAGCTGGCTGGCTGGCAGTGACCACGTAAATGCCGACTCTCCTATTTGGAAAAGACCAATGCCGAGAGAGAGGGAGATTGTACCACTGACTGTGAAGTGTAGAAGGAGCATATTATTATACAGGATTTATATAGCGCCAACACTTTGCACGGCGCTTTACAAAATGGAGGGAGACAATACAGCTACAGTATAATTTTAATACAAAAGGAACACTATTTAGCTGTATGGAATTATTATGGACATAACCTGGGATGTGCAAAGAGCAGTAACCCACATTGCCAAAGCTGATTGGTTGCTGTTAATTATTGTGTTTACTTTTATTACAATGTATTGTCGCCTATCAGTTCCCTGATGTCATTTCTGAACATGTCATGAAGAAATATGTCCCTCACGTATATATTTTGTGAAATATTAATGAAAACAAGGATGATATGATATAATGTACAATCATTTGTATCTATGGGTAAAATAAAAAGGGGGCACCTATAGGCGTTGAGACTAACCATATAGCACTGCAGGGGGTCCTTACAATGGTCAATTTTTAATCGGAGTTTAAACCTTTTTCCCCCAAAAAAACATGTTCCTGTATAACTGCTTTGTTAGCTGGAGTTAGGTTTTAATTTGTTTGTCTCTTAAAGCTACATCCATCCAAGACTACCCTGTCTACAGGGAGACAACGCCGCTGGGGGATTTCACTGTAGAATGAATTGTCTCTATGTAAAAGGAAATGGAAAATAATGGATCTACTGGCAGAATAAACAGGGAATAAAACTATATTACAGGGGGGGACTCTGAAAAACAAAAACTGCTGTGCATATGATATTGACAATCTGCATCAATTATATACATCATAACTGGTTATGCCCATAGATAACACTTTGGGGTCTATAGATCTTCCACCAACCTTATGCTGGGTGAATGCCATTCGCATGGCATTCCTGCCACTAGATGGAGCCAGGGCAGCATAGGAAATCCTCCATCTAGTGGCAGGAATGCTGGGCGAATGGCATTCACTCAGCGTACAGCTGGGCGATTTATAAATTGACCCCTTTCAGTTGACCACATTCAACTTAAAACTACAGGATCCCTATAAATCTAGGTGAGCGTCTTTATTGTTCACTTTGTGTATTGGAGTGATTATGTTCAGTTCTGCTCAATATACCGTGTTCTGCTCTTTCTTCACTTTTTTTTTTCTTTTCACTTTTTTTTGTTTCGAATTTTAATTTATGTTATCAATTGTTAGTTGGAGAACATGTTTCTCATTGTTTAAGTATTGGATTCAATAAAACGTTGACTATCCGGAGTGGTTTGGCTGGTTCTTTTGTCTCTACGTTTGCTGGTGGACAGGTACAGTGCTGCTTACTATGTTCTAGCGATCATACGCCAGCACACAGTGAGCCAATCTGGTCATTGGGGTTCTCTCGAGCGGGTGAAGTGCAGGAGATGCAAGTGGATTGAAGTACTAGATGACTAGATGATCAGATGCTACTAAGGAGATCATTTCTACACGGGGGACTTTAGACAAAATGGGGCCCTGGACAAATAAGTAGTTGAGGCCCCTATATGCACAGCATTCCAGTACCACATACCCACTGCCAGCTAGTTGAGGCCCCCATATGCACAGCATTCCAGTACCACATACCCACTGCCAGCTAGTTGAGGCCCCCATATGCACAGCATTCCAGTACCACATACCCACTGCCAGCTAGTTGAGGCCCCCATATGCACAGCATTCCAGTACCACATACCCACTGACAACTAGTTGCGGCCCCTATATGCACAGCATTACAGTTCCATGTACCCACTGCCAGCTAGTTGAGGCCCCTATATGCACAGCATTCCAGTTCCCCATACCCACTGACAACTGGTTGCCCTTTTTGCCCCCAGCTACGACCCTGCATTGCTAGTGAAATAAGCTCAATCAACATTTTTACACTATGTAGTTGATTTACTAAAGGCAAACAGGGCTGTTCACTTTACAAGAGAATTTTCACTCAGGTTAGTGAATAAGGTAAAAATTCCCTTGGCAAAGAATATCCAATAAAGTTCATGGAAACTAAAAAATAAGCAGTGTTTTTGCTTCTACATGATAGGTTAATGGAAGCCAGTGGAGCTCCACCTCATTCGCTAAGCGAAGGGAACTTTTCCTTGCAAATTAAACAGCCTGTTTGTCTTTAATAAATCAACCCCTATATGTAAAGAGTATGTGGGCGCCTCTCCAACTTATTACATTCAAGTATTTCAGGTAAAGGATCATGTTAATGCTACAGCATACAAATACATTTTAGAGATTTGTGCACTTCCTTCCTTGTGGTAGCAGTTTGGAGAAGGCCGTGTAAGGGCCCCCAACATTTCTGATGGCTGCCCTGCTTGAGAGTTACACACAAGAATATAAAGAAACACCTGCCTGTCAGTACACCACATTGCACAGATATCAATTACATTCTCTATGTGTTGCTTTCTGTTGCCCAAAAACAGTGCAGGTCAGTTTTTAATGTACTGAGGCTCATTATATGCTCATGCAAAGTGAATTGGTTCGTCGACCCAGCACACAAAAAAATACATGTTGATGCACACACACACATGTTTAAATTGAGCCTTTGTTTTAGTGGCAAAGTGATATTCTTATTTAATGATATTTTTCTCCTTTGGGAAACCGATTCCATCCATTTCTGTTTCCTTGTCTCATTTTCTTTTCTATAAATAGCTCCCAAAGCGTACTATAAATGGAAAATCCTAAAATTCACATTGTACGATGTGTAGACCTAGTTCTGGAATGACCCGATGAAGGAAGGAAATATGGCGAAAGCTTTGTGAAAAATGAACTGCTCCGGAAAATAAAACACGGAGTCATCCAGCGCTGAGCTCCCCACAGGGAACATATGGATTTACTTAGAACAGTGAATAATCCCCGTAGGTATCATATTGAACATTGCTGGAATAGTTTATAAAATGTTCACCACTCACATCTTTATGGGGCTCTGAAGGTCAGACCGTGTCCAGCTTTGTTATTCTAATTGTAAAGGTTCTACAGAGGTAGAGTTCTTGCGCAGTCCTATACAGCTAAATACATAGTTATCCAGTTCATTGAATTCAACCTAAAAAAATCGGCATTCTCGATTCTCTAAACTCACAACTGATCCGGGTGAATGCAAGAAACTCCTTATAAAGTGTTTTCTAACAGGAAAAATCCCTCCTGATCCCCTAAAACAATCTGACACTCTGGATCAACAATCTAAGGTGGTATTACTTATAAATAGTATTAGCCAGGTCTATTTTATGCACTTACTGTAAAACCACATCCAGACTTTTTTGTAATTAATCTACAGAGCATGCTAGAACTATGGAAGCTGACTCCAGGTTCTCACAGCTTTTACTGTGAAGAAACCTTTCCATATGCAGAGATTATACTGCATCTCTTCTCCAGGTGCAAAAAAAGTGCCACTATCATGTACCTGGCTGGAGACTGGTTGGATGAGGAGGCTCCCCTAGCACCTTGCGTCCCCCGAACTCTGAGGATGGGAACAGAGCCTGAGGAACAGCAAGTAGCATGGGTGCCCGTGGATGGGGCAACACCGTGCCAGGCGGAAGTCCAGATTCAGGATCGGGTAGAGCAGAGCCGATGTCACACCAGGCGGGCAGCAGGATTTCAGAGCAGTAGGCAGAATCGAGGTCAGACAAGCCAGGAGTCACACCAGTCAGGCAGCGAAGTACAAGGGGTGAGGCAGAGGCAAGGTTCAGTGGCAATTCCAAGGTCAGAAGGCAGACGGCAATCAGGAGCAGTCAGGTGCAATCCGGGTCAAGGTGCAGGAGCAGTAAACAGGCAGAGCAAACAGGATCACAGGGAACAGCTGAAAGACCATCCAGCCACTAAGCCCAGGCTGTGCTTGCTTTAAATAGGGAGATGAATCCAGAGGTACTTCATCACTTCCTGTGCACCAGATTAGCGCACCTGTGCGCGAACGTCCCAATGCGCACGCATGCCCGCAAGTGCCTGTTTTCCTATGGTACGAAAAGCGGGACCGACGCACATGCATAGAAGACCTGATTACCTTACAGCCACCTTCATAATACTTATAGATACAGAGATAATTGTGGACTTATTTTATAATACTTTTACTTCTTGTTTAGAATATGTTAATACTTTGTTGTCCATGATCTGGGCACAGGTTCGCTTTAACCGCCAGGGGACATCTAAAGGCCATTGCAAGCTTAAAAACCACCCGAATTTTCCCTTTCCCATTGACTACAATACATTTCCCTAAAGTTTTCTACATTTTCAACAACATTTCGACAAAGCAAATCCCCATTTTGCTCATCTCCATCCGGAACTCCCAATCTGCATCTTTGTTCCAGGTCAGTGACTCAAAGTATTGATCTTTTATATTATCTTGATGCACTTTATTTATGAAGTGGTCCAAAAACCTAGTACAGTATTATGCTAACCTAATAGCATTATTAAAATGCAAGGGATGCACAGATACCCGTTTTTCGGTATTGAAATAGAGTAACGATATTTTGCTTTCGGTACTTGCCAAAACTGGTGCTTCCGCTGGCATGTAGCCGGCTTTCTGGGCAATCAGGAAGGCTCCGTGTTTTGGCCAGACTCGATCGTGATTGGCCGGAGGCCGACTTCCCAGCCAATCAGCATTAAGCCGGCTTTCTGGCCAATCAGGAAGCTGCCCGGCTTCCTTAAGCTGGCTCCATGCTGAATGGCTGGAAAGCCGGCTGAACAGCCAATCAGGAAGGTGGGTCTTTACTCGCCACGTGGCTACCTGATTGCCCCGGAAGCTGGCTCCATGTTCCCCTACGGCACTGCCGCTCAGAGGGAATCTTCCTCTGGCTGGAAGTTCCGGTATCAGGGAAGGTATCAGGACATTTGGACGAGTACCAGTACTAGTATCGGCATCGGTGTATCCCTAGTGTTTCTGATCAATATTTATATTTCCTTATATGAGACAAGCTAAATGTTGCAATGAGGGTCTTTTATTTTTAACAATACTTAAACCCGACCTTGAATAAGCAAATACGGAGCCAACAATGGCTACCCGTTGTTTGATACAATGTGGGTCAGCCAAGTTTCCCTGTGTTGAGAACCAACATTTGATAAACCTGCTTTTACACTGTCAATCACAGTAGACTCTGGCATATGATTCCCACGTTACGCTCCTTTTCACAGTCATGTGCTGAATGAATGCATGGCGCGGCGCAGAGAGGCCCTCATTAGACCAGTTCCCTTGCTGAGCTCTGTAGTTAATTAATGTCTCAGCCGCACACACCCACCGCTTAGAATGACTGCACAGAATATGGATTTATAGCTCATGATGAGCCAAGATTTCTGAACACCCAGATGACAATTTCTAACTATTTAAATCTCTAAGGATAACCTATTAATTTTCCCTCAATGTCCGAAGAAGGGAGGGCAGATAATATGCAAATTAGCTGATCGTATTTAGACAATGAGGGTAATGTGTCTTCTTGGCTGTCTTGCTTAAAAGTGAACCTTTTACAGTCTGAGCTGAAGAAGCTGTACTTGGCGGCCAAAAATAGGTGGACACCGCGCCAAATTTTTGAGTTCAGGTGCACAAAGCCAGCTCTGGTTTGGTTTGTTGAGGTTGATATGGAGGATCTCAAGTGGCCTGCACAGAGCCCACTCAACCAAGTACAAACGCTTGTGGCCACCCGACTGTCCAATCTATATGAACCTTTTGAACATTCCAATCCAAAACCATGGACATTAATATGAAGCTCGTCTCCTCTTTACGTCCATAAAAGCCTCCGTTCTTCTGGGAAGACTCTCCAGGAGATTTTGGAGCGTGTCTGTGGGAATTTGTGCCTATTCAGCCAAAAGAGCATTGATGAGGTCAGGTACTGATATTGGAAGATAAGGCTTGACTTCCAATTAGTGTTCTAGTTTATCCTAACAGGGTTCAATAAGGTTGAGATTAGGACATTGTGCCGGCCACTGAAGTTCCTCCACACCAATCTGGTCAAACCATGGGGGGTACAGTCATGCTGGAAAGAAAAGGGCTTTCCCCAAACTATTGCCACAAGGTTGGAAGTGCACAATTGTGTAAACTTTCTTCGTATGACCTTCAATGGAACTCAGTAATTTGGTGGGGGATGTGCGGTCAGGGAAGGCAGAGCCTCACCTAGTATTATGGAGGAAAAAGCTGTCAGCTTGAAGTCCGAAGCTGACAGCTTTTTCTCCATTCAGAACGGCTTGTTACAGGTCACACGGCAGGGAAAGCCTCCCCGCTGTGTAACCTTTCATGGACAGATCGCTGCCTGTTAATAACAGGTCGGCGCTGCATCCGGCTTTTGACAGCTAAGTTAGGTTACACAGCAGTGGACTTCCCCACTGCTTGTGTAACCTAACATAGTGAAGCCAGAGCTGCAACAGCCACTACTTACTGTTAGAGGCTTGAG